TCATAAAAAGGACTTATTATGAGGATGACGTAAGCGTGCATCTTATGTGCATATATTCTGTATGGTTAGAATAAAGACACCAGGACCTATTTGTTGTCATAAAACAGACAAAAATAACCACATGGCCAGTTAGGATAAATGCAGCATTTAGCCTATGAAAAACATCTCCACTTTAGAGGCTTTCAAACACACACACAACACACACACACCACACAGTCTGCCTGACATTAAAACTACCTGCAACACGGTGATGAGGTTTTTTCTCTCCCACCCGTCCCAGGATTCCGAGGCAGACGCTTTTATCGAGACTTCTCCCATCCGGCATTTGCTGCCCGCACACAGCCGGGCTCCATCCAGGAGGAGGCAGCCCCTGAATTCAAAGGCCCCTCCCTGTCGGCCACCAGCCTCCCTCCTCATTCACCTCCTGGATGCCGGAGAGAGGATGCTGGCTGCCCGCATCAGAGCCGCTGACAGCCGGCAGCAGCGAGTTTGTCTTTGACATCAGATACACCGGAACATGCGAGTGTGTGTTTATCTGTTTTTATTATTACTCTCATACACAGCGAATTACAGCTGCTCTCTCTCTCTCTCCCTCCGCCTACTTCTTTGACATCACCATGATGTCACTGGGTCGAATCTCATCATGCAGACTGAACATGACGAATTACCTCAGTGGTTTGAATGGCATGTGCACTTTTAAAGCAGTTTCTGGCTTTACAGCATGTGACATATATTTCTAATAGGCTCGATTAATAACCAATAAGTAGGCTACTAATCATCATTTGCATGTCTGGCTGAATTATGGGGGAACTGTGTAGGAAATGATGCACAAACAATCTTAAATATTTCAGTTTAATGAAAAGGTGCAGCCATACAAACATGGAGGCTTATTAAAGATCATACAGATTCAATATAAAGTTGGATACAAGGTGATACAGTATAATTTCTTGTTCTATTTATCATGTATATCTTAATAAAAGATAATAGGTGCTGTATGGCCATGTATTGTAAATAAGATATTAATAAGATATTTGGCCCTGTATTGCAGAAAAAAATGAGACCTATTACTATTTTTCATCATGTTTTTTTCCCCCCAATAGATGTCAATACATGTTTTATCTGTAAGGGACAATGTATCTGTATTATATGTATTATATGAGGTTCATTGTGTCCATTGAATACTTGTACATTCTGGTTGTGTCGTAACAGAAATTTATGTGGTTTCATTTCGTGTGCAACCTCTTAAAAGAGTTTTACATTACAATAAGGGTGATATCATCAACACCAGGGGCACCACAGTCATCATGCTGGCTCATTTCCTCCCTCTGTAATTTCCGATCAGCATCCTCTTCACTCTCCTCTCTCTCTCCTTTTCTCTCCCAGAAGAGGTTGTTGTGCATCTGGAACCTGAATCAACCAAAATGTCATCAAACTGTGACACTTTGGTCCCCAGCCTTTCCTCTCTAATGAGCTGACAGCTGGTCGCCACCATACATTGTTGGCTGGGGGTTGGGTTTTTTTTTTGTCCTGGTGGAGGAGCAATCACTCATGCATATCTGTGTCTGGTGCTCCATATGTCTGGATGCTTCATATTCCTGTTTTGACGACATCAGAGCTGTGAAATGTTCAACTACAGTCTTAAATGCAGAGACAACAATACCTCATGGTTTTGTTTTCCTGAAGAATAAAGCTTGATTAGTATTATTTTATGTTTTATTGTTCATTATACAATGATGTATGGGCTAAACTTCATTCATTCCTGATTAGTTCTTCTGGTTGAATGATTACTTTAAAAAGTTCAGGTTTTTGGTGACGTATAAGTCCATGTGGGCTTGGAGCTTGTATGCTCATGACACAATAAACATAATAACCAGCATAATACATTTATCTAATTTCCTTCAGTATCACAATAATGTATTTTATGTATTTATAATGCACCTAAAAAACAAAGATAAACAAGTCAAACTATGTTCTAAAACTGTTATTATTTTAATTTCTTACATTGTCTACGGTCTAAAGGGGTCAAATGTTCTCTCAGTTTCTTGATGGTCTGAAACTCAAAAACAATGCACACAGACACACAAAGACTATTGATTAGTCATTAGTTTCATTTCATTTGACTTCTCATGAGGCAATAACCAATGAGGACTTTTTAAATTGCAATGATTTCACTCTTGCAACAGGGGGCAGAGCTTTATCTAGTATATTTCCTAATCACTTAAAGGGCCAGTCCGCTGATTTAGTGTTGCACTTCTGTATGTTTGCGGACTCACAAGAGACAGATACAAGTTTAAATTTTGATTAAGGTCTTAAACCTTCAGGGTTATAATATAATGGTGCCTGTTTAAATGATAAAAACGTGAACATGGCTTTATACTATATCTACTATACCAAAAACTATAATTTTACCTGAATTATCCAATAAAAATATTTACATCATGGTGTTTCCCAGCATTACAACACATTGTATAGGCAGTATGATGTATTAACTATATAGGTAGTACTATAGGAGATGCAGTAAGGTTTCAGGAATAAGTTTATTAGGTGATATTTCAGAACTTTGATGGTAGCGGTATAGTATTTTTCTACCTGGAACTGTCTGAGCCTCCTTGCTGTTGGCTTTCAGTAATGGTAGTGACTCAGCTGTTGTACTTCTCAGTCAGTCTGCTCAAATTGTACAGACAGATATGAAAATCCAGCCTACTTAGACTAGTCTGCAAAGGGAAATTAAAGTGATGAATCTGAAATCTCTGGCAGAAGATTGAAGTCCAATGTAAACTCTATGATAAATGACTCCATTCTTAATTTCGTCTACTTGTAGCCTTATTTTATGCTGTCATTTTGGCCGGATCCTAATTGCAAAAGAGGTTTCCAAATTCAGTGGGACTTACCTGGTTAAATAAAGGTCAAATAATTAAAGAAAAGATAATAAAATTAAGTGATAACTGCTCATACAAGGAGATCTTCCAGTACTACAAGTATGTGTACATTGCCTTAAGTTCTGCCTTGAAATAAAAAACAAAGCTTTTTGAACATAGGGCTAAGCAGTAGTATGTGAATCAATTCCAATTCAGTTCAATTTATTTAAACTCTCATGTCAATTTCCCAAAACATTTATTAAATTATCAGAGTTATCTTACACTGTACATATCCTATTTCTGGGCACCTAAAACAGTCCTAAGATATTTACAGGCACAATTTCCTGTCTGTTTATCTTGTGAATACTGGTGGCTTGTGATGCAGGTTTGTCACTTATGCTCGAGGTTCACGAGCAGCTCAGGTGCCTCTTGCTCCGAGCTGAGGCCTGAGGGGAGTGTGTGAAATACTGGAAGGTGTTGTCAGGGCATTCAGGGCAAAGGTCACACGGAGGAAAGAACTGCCGTTTGGCCTGCAATGGGTAAAAAGTGCATCAGCCCTCAGGGTCCTGTCAAACTGATAAATAGGGGAGAGTAGACAACAACAAAGGTGCAGAGAGAAGTCCAACCTGTCTAGACATACTATCTGAAAACCATGACTATTGGAAATAACAATAATAATTGTGAACAGTTAGCCCGGTACAGTAATGCTTCCTCCATCAGAAATGTGTGGCTGATACGTATGGAGGTCAATATTTGGAAAGGGGAGGATTGCTACAGCAGATTCATAGACAGCAGCCGCTGACACACACACATCAACAACACACACATCAACTGAGGTCAGCCAGTCTGGCCTGGAAAAACCCAACACAGGAAAGATATGAAGAGGCAGACAAAAATCTCCCTGTTTAAACATCCAAGTCTGTCTTTTGACTTTTCTAAATTCTCTGAACCATCACAGCTTCATACTTATTTAGCTTAATTTATCTGTTCACATTTCAACGTGAAATCAATTGAAAGCATATAAAAACGTATGTACAGTTCAGGTACACTGACCCATGAGGAAATTGTACCTATAACTTGAGATGCACACAAACCATCATAGACTTATGCATACTGATTTGGTACATATGTCACAATGAGTGAAGGCCTTCAGTGTCATTTTGCAAAATGAAAATGTGTGTGTATTCCCTTATTGTTTATGCATAGGAAATTTTATCCCATCCACTGAAAAACCCAGACAACCACAAAACTCTGTTGTTGTCAATCTCACCACAAGGTCTGCTCAGTAGCTGTTCAGGAGTTTTCAATCATACAATCTTCTTCAGCAAACAGAGTTTGTCCAGCTGTTGGCTTACAAATTGAGACTGAAAGTTCTCTCTTGACTTTGGAGGAAGTTGACAAAACAATCTCAACACAAGTAAATCCTTGAAATGTAGCCAGAAAGATTCATGCCTGTCATATATATCTTGGTCTTTAGACTAATACCTCATTTATACTCATCTGAACATTTATCCAAACAGTCACAAGATGGTCTCCAGCTCTTTCAGAGATAAGGAGCTGTCTGGATCTTCTGATCCAGGGATTTGGGCTGGAGATGCTCCGGGACCTTTGCGGTCATGATTTTCCTTGCCTGTTCTGGCATGCCTGGCAAAAACTCCAGACTCTGTCCCCCCTGGCTTCCGCAAAGCCAACTCCTGTTGGGGGCTGGAGGTCTCGGTGTCACCGGACACATATCCAGGCAGGCTGGTTTGTGGGTTTAGAGAGCCGTGACGTGGTGGCCTGATCCCTGAGCCTCCACCAGCGGTTCCACCTGAGCCCACCACAACTCCAGTGAAGGATAGAGCTCTGGGATTGACAGCAGACAAACTGACACTCTGGGTGGTGGTGTGTGACATCATGCCACCGTAGTAACAGCTGCCGCCACTGCTGGTCATCCTGGCTTTCTGTTTGAGGTCCAACGTGAGGCTGCGTCGTAACCACGCCTTCTTCACCTCTGCCTGCACCTGAGGACAGGAAGAGGGAGACATGTTTGTCTTTTTTTATCAGACCACAAACACCAGAGTTCGTTTAGTTCTGTGAACTAAACGATAGCTTTATTACCTCCCCATTGCAGAAACAGTAGATAAATGCCACAAAAAAGCCCTGAAAGATGAAAAAAAGCTTTTGTTAAAAAGAACCAGATGTTTTGACTTTAAATACTGAAAATGAATAAATAAATGAAATAAATATTGAAATAATAAAGTTTTCTAAAGCTCACTAATTTACCATTACTTTCATCTGTAAAAATGACACCTTGTAGCTTAGCTGTTTCCCTGTTTTCCAGTCTGTTTGCTAAAATAACCTAAGCTCAAGTATGCTCATAATTAACAGACAGAGTGGTAGCAATCTTCTCATTTAACTCTTGGCAAGAAAGCAAATAAGTATATTTCCCAAAATATTTCTTCATGGTATCATTATTACACATATTTGTTATTTTTAGCTTGAAAATGAAAATGTTGATAAAAACAAACTTTTACTGAAATGTATACTTTTTTTGCAAATCATCACCAGAAACGTGAAGCCTTACATCACATATCTGCATGCAGAGTTAGTGCTTATAAATGTGTACGACCTGGGATGAATTGAAGAACATCTCATAATGCATTTGGACTTGCCACAGCAGCCCGGTGACCTCAGTGTAGGGAAGAGCCATGAACACCATGTAGTGAACTCCAAACAAGGGCATGAGGACTAATGTGGACTTCAGCAGCTTCCTGCAGATGAAGAGCATAAACATTCATGCTGTGATTTAATGTTTGCAATAACTCTCTCATCAAATGATCGTAGCCTAATATGAATTTTATATAGTATATGATATGGTATAAATAATTAGATTAAAGAATTAGAATCAGAATCAGAATCAGAAATACTTAAATAATCCCAGGGGGAAATTATTTTTGTTACAAACTCCACATATACAAACAACATATATTAAGAACATATATATAAATTATATTTAATTGCTTTTATTTTATAGTATTCTTTAGGTTGTTCTCCTTACTTCATTGTGTGTTACTGTTTTACTGTGTGTAATGCTGCTGCTACACTGCAATTTCCAGCTTGGGATCATAAAGAATATCTATCTATCTATCTATCTATTATCTATCTATCTTCTATCTATCTATCTATCGTATTATCTATCGTTTATCTATTATCTATCTATCTTACTATTATCTAAAATATTCAATATACATATATATTATATACGAAGAATAATATCTATATACAAGATAAAATGTACTATAAAAGATAAAATGTACAATAAAAGATAAAATGTAAACGTAAAGGTACATTTTTAAAATTTAGATCAGTGTTTTATGACCAATTACCGATATTGTTGCCGAGGGTCCAGTTTACCAGTGTTTGTTTCCCACAGTTTAGAGGCCAGTACACGTATAATGTTGACAAAGAGGAGGAAGTTCACCTGCAGGAGCAGAGGTGTGCAGTAAGGTCATAAGTATGTGTTAAATATTCTTCAATAATATTAACAGGTAAACCTTTCTTACAACAATGGCTGCCAGAATGGGGACTTGATAGATCCACTTCAGGTTCCCTGCACTGATGTCCCAGCATCTGAAAGCAGACAGAAGAGTTAAAGCGAGCATTTGTGATGCAGGTGTCAGGTTAATATTTGTGACAAGTGAGTGCATCACACGACTCACTGTGTGTCTGCCAGCGATGCTCGTGCACTGACCCAAACAGACACAAACACAGCTGGAACACCTAAGATTAGCAGAGAGAGAAGAATTGGGCAATATAGGGATACACTATACACATTTTTTCAGAACACATACAAGTACATTTGGGTACTTGCTGATTTATGAGTACTTAATAATACCATTACAGTTCTAATAATGGCTTTGAAAACAATATTTTCATCAGATGTTCCTCACTTTCTGGCTGTAAAAAATGTAATTTTGCTACTGTAAAATTTGTTTAAATTATCTTTAAACTTGCTCAACTAACGAGAGGTTACACAACATCACACTGCGCTGTAGTACCTGGTGCAGTATCGGAGTAGTTTTATGATTACAGTAAGTACATGAGCACAGTATCTGACCCAATACCCAATACTGAGTTAGGTAGGTTAATTTACTCTTAACTCGATATGTGACAACAGATCTGGTCCAATGGCCCTTACCCCAGCCAATAATGGTAAGGGCCCATAGGTAATTCTTGTCAGAGAGGAAGGCCATGAAGATGAGGCTATGTAGGTACAACCCCTCCACCAGGATCCAGTAATGATTGGTTGCCAGGAAATAAAGGAACAAAGTAACAGCAACTTTACAGCCGGCCTAAAGACACGAAGCAGCATGTAAAGGAAACATTCAAACAGGTCATATAATAAGGAAAAAAAGAAACAGTAATACATATTGTCATAAAAACTAAATTTATGTTTTTTCTTAAAGGAACAGTTCAACATTTTGGGAAATAAACTTTCTTAATTTGCTTTCTCATATCTGTGCAGTAAATATGTAAACTGTTCCTTTCAAACACATCATACAGTGGCTCATCTCCAAGACTTATTAGGTGTGCTCTAAATCTAAGCATCTTGATGCAACATTAAAACACTATGAAAACAAAACACTTTTACTATGGTAATGAAGATAAAAATATACAGTTTACCATATGGGGCTTCTGTGCAGTGAACTCAGGCTCAGCATTACTGTCATAAGAGATGGTGTAGAGCACAGCGTCCTTCACGAAAATGCTGACTGCTCGACATATGAAGGAGGTGAAGAGGTGAATGTGGATGTAATTGCGTGTGCAGTGGAGACGCCTGAAAAGTGTGTGTGTGTAAGAGCGAGAGAGAGAGATAGAGGGAGAGATATTGGGTTGTTACAATAAAAGAATATACAAATACGTGTGGAGTATTTATGGACAAATATATTAAGTTGAATATTACTGGAGTTTTAGGTTTCTTACTTGAAATAGCAGAGGATGGAGACTGCCACCAGCAGTGATGCTAGAGAAATGGAGTAGCCGACAGTGTACATGAGATGTAGTCTCTCAAACACCTTCTGAAGCAAAACAAAAACATACTTATGTGTGCTGATCATTGACAGTATATATAACGTGCAAATGCATAAAGATAGAATATACTTTTGTAGCCAGAAAAACATCAGGTCAGCATGGTGAAACTTATTATTTAGAATATATTTTATATGTTAAAATGAATATATTGTACAAAATACATTGGCATTCACTCAAAAAGATTTCACGTCTTCAGTGCAGCAATTAAAAGTTCAACCATAAGAACACACTGTCTGTGTATTCATCTAAATACAAATGCATATGTTTGTACCTCCTCCTGGCTCCTGTGGTTGGAGGTCAAGTATGTAGTGCACTCGGTGTAGTTGGCCCAAGTGCGGTTGATGCTTGGCACCTGTTCCCAGCTCCCTGATGTATCACACTGGCGGTAGGCTCGCCCTGTGTCGCAGGAGAACAGGACACAGTCACAACATCAGCACAACAACAGAGACACAACAGGAATACCATACATTTTTATTTAGATGTTATTCCATCTCTGTAGTTGCATGTAGATGATCAAATGGTGGATGATAGTGTCTCTTCAGCTCTCCTACCTCTGTGGTTGAAGTCATAGATGTACTCTGGACACAGCACTGAAACCAGCTGACCCGCTCTGCTCTGTGGCCAGCATATGATCCCGTCCCACTCCGGGATACAGTCACCTTCTTCACAAAGTAATGGGAAACAACTGTTATGTAATTTCAAGGTTTAGCTTTTCTACTTACGTACAAAACTATGACACAGGCTAAGGGCTCTAGAAGTCAGGAGGCCCCTAAGCAAGAACCTCTGTTTGAAGTAATCAGTGTATCTTGATGCTTGGATATTTGCTTTAATATTTGATATTTGTTTGTTATATTTTTGTTAATGTTGCCCTAATACAACTGCACAGTGCATACTTAAGTAGGTAAACCTGTCAGTGTTGTAAAACTACTCCATTACAAGTAGAAAAAGTCATGCATTGAAATGTTAACTTAAACAGTAAATATACTTAAAAGCATCAAAAGTATTTATTATGCATATTGATTATTAAATCATGCAGGAGATTGGATTTTTACTGACACATTAAGGAGTACATTAACGTTGAAGATAAATTGAACCCTTATACGTTTGGAATGTTAAATCTGTAATAATACACTTATTACAGATTAAGCTCATCACATGTATGTATCAACGGATTTGAAATGTAACGAGGAGCGCTCAGTTAAATGGAAAGTGCAATAAAATGTACAATATTTCCCTCTGAAATATAGTAGAGTTTAAATAGGAATTTTGGAAATACTTAAGTAATGTACCTCAAAATTGTATTTTAGTAAATGTACTTTACTATAATGTCCACCTCTGAAGCCTACATTAACGGAAATCTAAATATGTTTATATGGTTGAAGAAAATAGAACCTGCATCACAGATTTCCATTGATGGCTTCCTACAATATATTTAATCTAATATTTCATGCAGTATGCAGGAGAATTTATGACATCTGTGCCTCTCTTCTACCCGTCTAGTCTTCAGACTGGGGCTCCATCTCATAAAATCCCTCTTTAAATAGACCATTGAAGCCACTTCAGCTTCTGCGCCATAATCTGAATGAAATATGTCCCACTATTGTCTGCACCTAAATTCAACTCTGTAATCACAGAGATACTGGTCAGCAGGATATTGGATGTGTGTTATAGCTGATCCTAAATAAATACTTAATGTCATAAATATGCTACTGTTTCTGATTATTTGTACATGCACTCACTGACCTCGTGTGTTTTTTAAATACTAATTCTGGATGTGCTTGTTAAAGAACCTTACTTTCCAAATATGGAGAGTTTTATTTTATCAATTTTTTAAAAGGGAAAAAGACTCTTCAACCCAGCTGGCATACTCATATTCCAAAAGTTTACTTTTTATCTGAAGTGAAGGCTCAAATTCGATTTTATAGATAGATCGTGTGTCCCAACTAAAAACTCAATGATCTCATGCAACCAATTCAGTAATGGAAGTTTAAAAAAGATTTATTATATGCAGTTTGTAGACTTATTTAGACTTCTATGGGTTTAGTGAAATTTTTTTCTGGGGAGTTTTTGATGACCTTTTGATAACAAAACAAAACTGTAAAAGAATAAAACCATCAAAAGCTGCACACAAACCTTTAACCAGGGCCATCTGTGCCTGGATGTTCCTTTCACACTTGGCATGAGCACCAATCAGAACGTAGATCTGCTCATCTCGTGTGATGACGTCATCAGAGTCAATCTGTAGCAGGTGGATAAAAGGGAGATGTCAGATTGTTCAGACAAATATACAAGAGATGCACCATAGTGTTATATGTGTCCAATATCCATCAATTTACTTAAAGTTCGTTACACTGTTTCTCAAATGTTGAACTTTTTATGTGAAGATAAAAACCATATCCTTATCACTATCACAAATATTTTAATTGTTTTATTTAATTTAGTTTATGTTATTTTTCTATGGATTGAATGATATTTTTCTGTATAGCATGAAGGGACTATGAACTTTCATTTCACTATACAACCTTGCATTATAATGACAAATACATGCCTTGATCCTTGATTCTTGAAAGCCTGCTACTTTATTTTCTTACAATAGACACAAACAAGGAATAATAAATACATCAAAAATGTTTAAATACCACAATAGTTAGCCATAATGTAAACTCTCCCTGCTTTGTAATGATTTGAAACAACGAATTGGCAGTATGATCCTCAAAAAAAGATCTAATTTAGCCAAGAATTGGCTATAATGTATCTACAGGGGTCTGATTGAGTTGTTTGGTATTTCCCCAAGCTTCAAGAGAAAAGTCAGCTGTTTATCTTCAAAGATGCCTGCAGATATTAAAAGTTTCCCAATAAAAGTCTCTCTGAAGACTCTGTACAACTTGGGTGATCCGTCAACCGCAAACACTCCCAAGGATCTGATGTGCTGCCTCCAGGTGTTGTGAAATAGCTGTGTGAGGGTGCGGTATGTGATGATCCCTCGCCAACCTCCTTTGTTTACTAGCGGCGGGGCTGCCGCTGGCCGTATGGGGGCCTTGTCCTCGGGACTTCGGCCATGCTCGTGAGATCTAGACAAGTAGCTTTGTGTTCCCAGGTGCATTTCACAACAGAGTGGCAAAACTAGCAACTAGAGAACTCACATGAGGATTGTTGGCCTGCCAGAGGATAACACTAAGAGAGATGATGAGGCAGAAAGGTACAAAGAAAGAGAAAGAAACAACTAAGCATAATTTGGGTCCAGGGGAGAAGAAAACATCCAGAGGAATGAGTTGCCTCTGTGGTGGAAAGTAACTCGATAGGTTTACTCAAGTGTTGAGGTCCAGTGCGTAACATTTAGGATGATCTATTCACAGTAATTAATAGTTACTTGTCAGATACGAAATTTAGGTATAACATTTAAAAGTCTTATACATTACATTACATTACATTACATAATACATTACATTGTTAAACCAGCAGAAGCTTTTGGCTTGAAACCCTTTATGCTAGCAGCTCGGTGAGGTTGTACTGAAGCCGTGGTGCTTTCATTGCAATACATCAAGCAGTTGTTGAGGGACTTCACTAATAAACATAAATGTGAACTTCATGATGTACTAGCGGAAAAGTTAGGATCATTTTAAAGTCAGTTAGGATTCATCCTCTGGGGACCGTGAATGTCTGGACCACATATCTAATCCTGGCATCCCATCCAACAGTTTTTGAGTTTATTTCAGTTTGGATCAAACAAAGTGGTGGACCATCTAACAACTAGAGCCATGCTGTTTGCTAAAAAACTATTTCTAGTTTGGGCTTCTTGTCCTGTTTTTAGATGTCTGAGAAGTTCCACCAAAGAGTGATTTCTCAGAGTGAGTGAGACTGTCTCATGGCTCTTGGTCTGCTCCTTTGTTAATGATTCCTTGTGACCATCATTCACTTAATGAGCCAGCTTTCCACCCATGGATGTTTTTTTTTCCACAGTTGTTTTCCTCTCTCTTGAGTGGTGCGGCGATGTAATAGCTCCACTGGAAAATGAAAGTGAAACTAAAGTTGCACCTGGCTCTACTAGGGGCCCTAAGCAGCTGCTTAGTTGTAAGCAGATGAAAGGTGTCAAACGCAGATCATTTCTTCGCCCACAGACAGAATAACAACTAACTTTATTTTGTCTTTAATTATGCTTTTAGATTTATTGAATTAATCACCTGAACAATCAGCAGTCAACATGTCGGCTTTAGGCCTAAAAGCACAATAATAGATAGAAACACATTCGCACATTACTGACATAACTGTCCCTGTGAACATGTATAAAAACTCCACAACCATTTGAATGATTTCTCAACCCCCTTGTGGCTCCCAACCCCCAGGTTGATAACCACTAATTTTAATAACTGTTAAGGCCCAATGAAAAGAAAGAGAGGTCCATAGATTAAAGAAAAGTTGTGTTGCAGAACTTCATGACCTGTCAGATTTATCTTGTGATCATTTGGAAGGGACCTGACCCATAGGTCGGGGACCCCTGGACTAAACTAAGTAAGTCCAAGTAATGTAAAGAATAAAAAAGAGTTGCATTGGTATAAATAATAATATATTATTAATGTAATATATGATAATATATCCTTCAAAGGGGCCAATTACCTTTGCTACTTATAACATTAACGCTCCTGTACTTTTACTTAAAGGTCCAGTGTGTAACATTAGTAAAGGGTCTGAGTACTTACTCCACCACTGCTTCTCACAGCCGTCTCCCTGGCAAGCTAAAGAAAAGTTCTCAATCTTGTTAAACAGACTAAAGTCCAACTGGAACCAGTCATGTCGATGGATTTGTGATAACTAACATTCTTGGCAGAAGTCATTCAAATAAACCACCTATGGGCGAACAGAGTCTCCAGTATTGTAGCACTCAGAAAGCTGAACAGCTATTATTCCCAGTGATTTGTTTTGGGAAAGTCAGTACAGACATATTGAGTAGCTCAATACTTGTTGTTGTTGTAGTGGACTGAGGATAACTCTGGCTGTGTTGACACTGCTTTTAGTGGCATATATACAGTGTGTGTATGTACGTGTGTGTGTGTGTGTGTGTGTGTGTGTGTGTGGTTGTGTGGCGTGGGCCACAATCACATTTAAACACATGTTGATTATTGATGGTCCTCCACCGGTGCCTCAACAAAACAACCCTAAAAAGTGAATACACATCAACATGCAGCGTTATTTAATACATGCAAGTCAATACAGAGAAGTCATTCATTTTTCTTTGTACGGGAGGGTTTTCTGCTGACAGACAGGCAGTGTTAGCAAAACAATTAGGCTTAGACATCTCGCCGCTTTTGTGTCATAATTGAATTTTCTTTCTCGTGCCTCTGCTTGTGATTTTCAGGCTGACTGAGCAGGAGGTTGTAAGTCTGCCTGAGCTCGACACTCGGGATAGACCCGGGGAAAGATGAAGAGATGGAGGTGGTCAGTGTGAGCTGCTTCAGTGGGTGAAAGGTTAAAGGGGTCAGAGCTGATGGAGGTTTGTGAGGTAGCGGACCACAGTAGCGGACTTGTGATGGTGGAGATTGGGGGCCTCTCTAATTGGTTTCACTGATGCTGTTGTCCTGGTAGTTTTTAAGTTTGGTGGTTGATTTTTACAGGTATTTGTCTGAGTCAAGGAGACATGGTGTTGACCTATATGAACATCTTTTCTCTAAAAATCTAAAGCTGCTCTATAAAATCATTTCCAGAGATTGTTTTGCCTTTATATTCCCCTACTTTTTTTCAAAGTAATATTCCTATTTAGAGATAAGATTTGTGTGATGATTTCAATTGTCTTTGGTTTACACTTAGAAATAAACTATGCAAATATATAAATACTCAAAATGGAAACTTTATATTCCTCACCAGCACTGTCAAAAAAAATCATTTGTTTGAAAAAGAAGAAAGTTACACCTCTCATCTATGGTCAGTCTTGTTGGTGAATGGCTGGCACATTTCCCAAAGCATGAAGCATGAGAGATAAATTACATCCAAAATGTGTTCAAAGAGAGTCACAGATACATGCAATTTTCTATATTTGGCCCAAAGTGCAGCAGTATGGGAGTGTTCTTTCTGACTCAATGTCATATTATAGTGTAAGATATGATGCTCTTGTGTGAAAAGTTTAAATTTAGAGCATAAAAACCATCCTTTGATAGACTATTATTATATTATATATATTATTTATATAAGTTTGTGATTTCCATTGAACATCACATGCTCAACAAATATGACAACAACATATTATAAAATGTAAAAATAAAACTGTTCAAGTATTATCCCTGTTTAAGTAAAAGCAAAGCAAAAATAAACTATTTTCTTCCAAAATTCTTATGATAAACTAAAACAAATCTATGAAAACCTGTCAAATGTAACATCATCAATAACTCAATCACCCAAATATTCAGGATAAGTAGAGTACACTTACCAGCGCAGTCACTATTATTACACTGTGGAAAAGAGCCAAGGCACCGGTTCCCAGTGCAGACAACATGATGTCTTTTCAACGGTCAACTTAAACAGGACTTTTAATTAACATCAAATTATCTTGTCCTCCTCAAGTTGCATTGAAGGAACTCGTGTCCCAAAGTTAAGGGAGGTTCTCCTGTGCTGTCCCATCAGTGCTCCTCTTGTTTTTAAGTGATTCTCTTTGTTTCATTGGTCAATAACAGCCTTTTACATGATCTTCCTGAGCTCTGAGGTCATCATCCCCTTTAAAAATGTCTCCTTTCTCCAGTCTTCTTCTTGAGGCTCAGTGGACATCAATAATCACCATGTAGCAGTCAGTCTGTAGTGTGATAAGGTTTCTGTTGGAAAGAGAGATTGGAGCACTGTGGAAGAAATCTCCTCCTTTTACAGTTCTTTGGACTGTTGTCTATCAGAGATGGGTTGTCTTGGATTGGCTGAAGCTTCAACCTCACTTAACTCTTTGTGCTCCTCTTCCTCTATCTGTTTTTTTCCCCCAACCCAACTGTCAGACAGTGTATAGCTTTTACCCTCCTTTTCATACTTGAGTATATATTGATCACACACATATTGTTCAGGGATTCAGTACATTCTGTATGTTCCTGTTTTTGAATTTGGGACAGGAGCTTGGACCATAAACCTATTATTAATATATCCCTTCATCATAAATAGAAGCATGATTTAATAGACTTTGGTCCCATGGCAAGAGACCAACATTTCTTTTCCAGTTCCCACGCTAAGACATTCTGGAGGACACTGATACAGACCAGACTGCCTACTGTGTGTACCAATTAGATTGAACCTATAATCTCTAGTGCTAAACTCCCTGACACTAGCAGATATAACAAATACACAAATTATATCGGGAGTTGTACAATATTTTGGCTTGTATTGCTGTTATCTTTGGGACCAGTTGCTGAACTTGTGCACTAATATTCTTCTGTAGTTCCTGATCTCAACCAGAAACACCCAGGGGTCCTTATAGAGATTTCAGGTTCCCATGGTTCAGGATTTATTACACATTTGCCTCAACTTACTGTTCATATTTAAATGTATTAAATTAGTTACAGCACATACTAAACACAAGATGCTTCTGTATTACTATGGAGACATGGAGAAAAATACAACAATAACAACAATAACGTATTGTTATTAATATTATTATTATTATTATTATTATTATTATTATTATTACTTTGCTATAACTTCTAGTAATCTCCATTCTGAGCACGTTAAAATCAAACTAATGACATAGTCAACAAACACAAATGGAAATCAATATTGAGCCCAAAAGGGGAGAGACAATTCACAATGACTAAATCAAATTAAATATGTGAACAAATAAATATATAAAACAAATACATTATTTTGTCAATATGCGCTATAGAAATTTCATTATAATCAAATCGTTAAACTTATAATATTCAAAAAGAATAAAGAATGTCACTGTACAACCTAAGACCCTACAGTATTTTATGTTGAAACCAAAAACATGTTGCTTGATTGGGCTTTTATTTTGAAAGGCCAATTTTTGACGTCATCGAAACCCGGAAGTGCCGGTTTACCAACAAGGACAGCAGCAGCTGCGTGCTCTGTGGACTGTCAGAACTGTAAGATATAAAACTGTGGGCTGTTTAATGTGCTCATCGAGGTGAATATCGTTGTGTTATAATGTTACAGGCCTCACCTGCAGACGGAGGCCTACAGCTCGGCTCTTAAACACAGTCTTGTGACTCCACATGTACAGCAGGTTACTGTAACACTCATTAACACTGTGGCTGTGTGTGTGTGTGTGTGTGTGTCTGAAGGGCATGGCGGGGGCAGCGGCGGTGCTAAGGGCTCTCCGGACCCTGCGCCCCCGGACTCCGGCCGCGACCTCCGGCAGGTTCCCGGCCCCGGCGGAGTTCGTCCTGCCGCCGGCTTCATGCGTGTTGTACCCGCCGTGGAGGAGCTCTCCTGTCAGGACCCTGCAGCTGTGCTCCGCCTTATGTGCCGGACACAACAAGTGGTCAAAGGTGAAGAACATTAAGGGACCTAAAGATGAGGCGAGGAGCAGGATGTTTATGAAGTTTAGTATGATGATAAAGATAGCTGTGAAAGGTGAGATTAAACAAAAAAACAAACAAACAAAAAAAAGGACATCACTTACAGTTGGAGTGTTTTCTTGTCAATTAATATTTAATATATTTAAAATGTTGGCTTCATCTGCAGAGGGTGGACCCAACCCAGACATGAATATAAACTTAGCCCACGTATTGGAGCAGTGCAAAAGCAAGAACATGCCCAAGGCGTCTATAGAGTCTGCAATCAAGAGTGCGGTAGGTTGACAACACATTGTCCACATAAATGAGTGAATGAAACAACATAAAGTGTTTTGGTGACACTAAAAGACTGAAACTGAATAGCTTACGTACTCAAGATTCTCTCATTCATGTCTTTTCTCTTTGCTCCACAGGAAAAGGCCAAAGGTGGGTCCCAGCACATGTTTGAAGCTCGGGGGCCCGGTGGATGTCTGCTGCTCATCGAGGTGTTGACTGACAGCTACTCACGCAGCCAGCAGGACATAAAACGTCTGCTTAACAAGAATGGGTCAGGACGGGTTTCCTATGATCTCACTCTGACTGTACAGCTGAAAAACTCAAGATATTTCATGCACTTTCACTACACTGCTGATGTTTAATCCTGGTTAATGAATGACATGGATTTTTTCCCTAGCTGATTTTAAACAGAAGTTTATAACCTGTAGTTTTTACACACCTGAGGGTAAGAAAGATGTAAGATAAATTGAGCAAAAATATAAATTAATTAATATTCCATAAGTCTGTTCTAACCGAATCTTCACTATTTTTAACACAACAAAAACAAACAACAGTTCTGACTCTTATAAAATATTCATTCATGTTTCATGAAAAAGCTTCATAAACTTGGCTTTCGTACAGCATAAAACCTATCAATCATTTTGCATAAGAATTCAAGATAAATTATTATATTACGGACTGATAATTACTGTGCATCCCTTAGTTAAATACTATTTAATCAGTCTGAAGGAAATACCTGAAAATGTACATCAATAATGCAGCAGTTTTATTGAACACAGATTAGATATAGAGGAAGAGTTCAGTGATTATAGAATGTATGGTATCCACACTGTACTGATCAAGATGTGCCAGTGTGAAAATAGCAGTAGCCACTAGATGTCCCTGTACTAACACATTTGTCTTGGCTCAGAAGGTGCTGGTGCAGATGCAAACAGCTGATGAAAAATAGCAAAATGGACAGCTAGTTTTTATTTGCCAAAAAAGTCTTGCCACTATCTTAAAAACGCACTGTCTGCAGGGTCTTAACAGCTTCAGTTTATGCTTTTATTGATTGACAAAGTCTTAAATTATTATCTTATCTGTCACAGGTAAAAATAAACAAAGTCACAAAGTGCTGACCGTCTCTCATAAAATAAAAAATACCTGATAAAAATTAAAACCCATATGTGGTTTTAAACATTTAAATAGACATTTTTATATGTATATGTATAGTTAAATGTAGGGTTATGTTGTCTCACAGGTGAAATTCTCTACTCATTTACAGGGGGATGCCATCAGATGGAGCCCGCCACAGCTTCAACAGGAAGGGGGTGGTGATGGTGCCGGGGCAGAACATCTCGACGGAGCGAGCTCTGGAGCTGGCTATTGAGGCGGGAGCCGAAGATGTCCAAGAGACTGAGGATGAGGAGGAGCAGCCCCTCCTGCAGGTCAGACATGAAGAGGCATCTTGTCTAAGGAGAGTAGTGCAGACATATGAGGGAACGTGTTTCTAAATGCACATAACAGTAGCAGTGATGGGTATGAGGGATGTTTGGAGCCATCCTGGTGGGCTTTGAAATTTAGATTTGGATAAAAATATTATGTTTAATTCCGATCAAACTATGTGTCCAGTTTCCAAAAAGCACAATTTTATTTGTATTTTGGTCCCATCTTTACAGATTCCTAGCACAGAGTGTCTGAGTAAACTATAGTGTGACCTAAATCCTACACTGTTCCTTTAATATTTTAGTATTTCTATCTATCTATAACAGTCAAAGTAAACATTAGTTGCAGCCTTACCACAGTTAATCTGATCTGTTTCTCTCTCCTCAGTTTACATGTGATATAATGGACGTGAAGAAGGTGCGTGACTCGATGGAGGGGCTGGGAATGCAGATTACGTCTGCTGGGTTGGAGTTTGTTCCTCGCAGCTTCTCGTCTTTGGACCAGAATCAGCTTGATGCTGCTTCAACGCTTATAGAAGCCCTCAATGACTGTCCAGATGTAGTTCGAGTGTGGGACAACATCCAGGCGGACAGCTGAGGACGCTTCCTGGACACTTGGTGGACAATGAATATCTTACATGCGGAGTATCGGATTTCACATAGAATGGATTTGCAAACATATTCTGTTTTATCATTATCAATATAAAAATGAGTGTATGTTTTCTGCATATGAAAAAAAGAAAATGAAATTGTGATCCTTGTTAACATGTAAGGTGATATTTCTATTATCTGACTGCACTTACCAGAAGTTCATTAACAACTGACCATGAGCAAACAGAAGCCATCAGTGGGATACACTGCCACCAAAGCCCTTTAGGATTTTGCCCCATTTCTCCCACTTCTATAAAGTGAAGCAGAGTTCTTTCTTCGTTGGTTTAAATAGGTCTTTAAAAGTTGTTTAAAGAAAGGTTATAAGAGTTCCCTTTATATCGGAAAATCATTCATAAGATCCAAGAGAAATGAAAATGTTTTGTCATATTGAATTTTCACTTTTACTAGGAAGGAAGCAATGTTTAGGATCCATTTCAAAATAATTAAAATATTTAAGGTCTCCCCCTAAGCAAACACACTCTGGAAACTAACTGAATTGAAAACAAAAACAAAAACTAATGAAAAATGAAAAACTAGTAACTTATTGGTGTCTGTGCACTGGAGTTTTAACATCCAACTTGCATACTTGATCATATTGCACATACATCTAAAGCCTCTATCTGAAAATGGGAATTAAGGTGAGCTCAGAAAAACTTTCCCCCTTCAGCAGATGAATGTTAAAAACTTGTAGTCTAACTCTGCACGTACGTGGTTCTGCACACTGAAACTCAAACATCCAAGTAAGTAACAGCTTGTCAACTGTGAAATAGACTTTTTAATTAAGTGTCCATGCAAACTTTCAAAAAACTAAATCTATATTTAATATATCTTTTTAAAAACAAAACAAAAAAGAATACAGACGGCTGAAGGTTACAGCTGAAGGACATTTTGAGCCAATGTCATCACGGGTCATTACCCTCTCATATTACTGTAGTGTCAACTTTGCAGTCAATAAGGTCCCACATTAACAGTATGCATGCAACATATTGAGTGGGTACTATACATTTGGCCAGCCGATTTAGTTTTTTTACACCACAGTGTATGTACATCACAGCCTGAACTGTATTTTAGACCCACACCACCAAGCTGTACTGTATTCAAGAACGTTGAAATGGTAATTTGATGTTAACAGGGTCTAGTGTAATGGCTCTGAGCCCATTTGCTCTGTTTATCAATGCTCGTCATGGATTTTCCTGTCAGTTCCTCTCAGCTGTAGCATGGCATTGATTGGTTTCCAGTGTTGGCGAATGTTGCGCGGCAACATGCGAGCTGCAGGCCAGTCCTCTGCCCTGTGCCAGGGTGGAGAGTTCAACATTGACATCTGAATGAAGGAGGTACATTTGTTTTACCTAAATATGAACCATGAAAGAGAAGAGTGAATGTTTTTGAAAACACTTGCCCAAAAAGTGTCCTAAAGGATGGAGGTTTGAGTCATGGCTGCCTAGTTGTAGTCAAGACCAAGAAGGATCTGACATTCTGGTTTCAAATCAGGTATGTTCTGTTTATTTACTTTCACTGAAACTCCACTTGGTTGAAAATTTTGACCAACTAGTGAGATCTTTCCTAAGTGTGACTGCTGCCTTCCAGAGCAGTAACGCTCTGTGAGTCAAGTATTGAGACTGTCCAGTATTTGAGGGCAGAGTATTTTTGGGAGGGGCACAGTTAGATTGGCATTCAACCAGAACAGAGAGGTATTTGTTAAAGCGGCAGTAGGTAACTTATATAAAAATAACTTTTTGTCAAATTTGGTGAAACTTTCACTATATCCTGACAGTAGCACGTGAGACAGATCATGCTTGAAAAAAGTCAGGTTCCTCTGGCTTGTCCAGTTTCTCTTATTTGCAAGAATTTGTAAGACTCCAGAGCGTTTGAATGAAAACAACCAATCAGAGCCAAGAAAGAAAGTTAAAGTGAAACCCAACAATCAACTTCAACAGTCTTCAACTGTCTTTCTTGGCTCTGATTGGTTGTTTTTGTTCTGATGCTGTGGATTCTTGCAAATGCCGTTAGGAGCACTTGGACGAGCCATAGGAACCACATTTTTTCGCAGATTATCTGCCTCATGTACTACTGTCAGGATAAAGGGCAAGTTTAGGCAAATATTTAATATAATTATAAATTTATATAAGTTATTTTTCTAAAAGTTGCCTACTGCAGCTTTAAAGGTGGGGGTCACAGAATTTATATTGACATTTTTGGAGAAAGATTTAGAAAAAAAAACACAGGCATATTTAACATAAATAAAATTGAAGGAATTATATGAATAAAATGGAAGAAAACTGCATTATTAGTGTTAGGAGCAAATAGTGTTAGGAGCAAATAGTGTTACTGAATACTATAATTGTAGTGATAGTAGTAGTAAATGTAAATAAAAACATGTTTTCCAATCACATGTAGACCAACAGAGCTCCATGTCTGACTCAGACCTTATGAAGAGTGGGGGACCAGCCAGCAGGGGCCCCGAATGCTGCTCGCCTCCAAATTCCAAGATGGAGGTGCTCAGCCCCTCCAAGGTGAAGGACCGCTCCCAGAACGTCAAAGAGAAGGTCACGCAGGTAGGGGGGCCGAGAACCTTACATGGGCTCATTGTCTGGCTGACTGAGAGCCAGGAAGTCCCATGTAAGAGCTCTAAATGAATGAACTTGTCCATTCACCACCAAATTTCAAGTGAAACGTCGGTGATCACTATGAAGAATACCCTATGAGGCATTCACTGCTTGCCAGGTTCAGTAAGCCATTCAAGAGCTCACATTAGTCCTGTTCTGTTTTCTAAGAAATAAAGAGGCTCCCAGAGAGACTGCTGTTAATTAACACGCTGGAAAAATCACTAGGTGCTTTGGTAGCGGGTCTGGGTGTGAAATGCAAAGTTACATTGAGCCACAGTTCAATTCAGACCTACTGCTGTTACTGCTGAAGCCCTGGGGCTCGGCATTCTGCATCACTGCCTCTGTGGGATGGTGTGTGGTGGATATGAAACAAATGCAAGGGAAGTGTTTCCAACGACCCATGACCTTGCTGCATGGGGTCACTTGTTGATCCCTGTCTGTTTGTCCACCTGATAGTCTATCTATCTATAAATCTATCTTACTATTTATCTTTCTACCTAATAGATAGATAAATCCATCTGCAAGGTCAGTAAGATTTGTCAGGGCAGTAAATATAAATTTGAAACTGGGCTAAAGAGAACACGAGGACTGTGGCAGCACATGAACTCAGTTATGTGATTGTGACGCCCAACTCATCATTACAGCCGTCCAGCCCACCAGCATCCTGCACTCAGTCAGCTCTTGCACGTTTGATTGCAGCACACGATTGCTTTAGCTTTCCCCTCGATATTTTTTAACTATCTGGAAATAACTGTAGATCTGGATGTACCCAAATCTCGCCTCCGCTGAGAGTCGCCAATGACAGGATGGTCAAGGATTTGTTGGACCTGCAAGGTCGCAAAACCAGAGCATGCAGCCTCCACCAAGAACTTGGTCAAAACAGTACATCTTCTAGAAAGGTCTGTTGGTTAGTTTTAGTTCAGACTAAGTTTTGAAAATGCTGATTTCAAATATGTACTTGTTTTAAGAATTGCAGTTTTGTTGCAGTTAATTGTTTAAATTTGTTGACCCAAAATGCAATAAAATGATACTAAACAGCATGTAAGATTCATAGTTTAAGGAATGTTAAAAAGCAATGTTCATATGTGAGAATCACTGCATACTAATGTATTCTTTATGCTTAGGTACTTTCTTTGGAGTCTGATGTACTGCCTGAATACAAACTCCAGGTGCCTGAGACAACATGGTGGATCTTGCTTCACTACAGCCCCTTCAAGGCGTTTTGGGACTGGATTATTCTTCTCCTGGTCCTCTACACAGCTGTTTTCACTCCTTACTCAGCTGCGTTCCTCTTGGATGAACACAGGGACTTACGTCAAAGGGGTTGTGGCTACACATGTAACCCTCTGAATGTGGCGGACCTTATGGTTGACGTGCTGTTTATTGTGGATATAGTCATCAACCTTCGCACAACGTACGTGGACCAAAATGACGAGGTGGTCACACAGCCGAGCCGCATAGCCAAGCACTATATCAAAGGCTGGTTCCCTATTGATCTGTTCGCAGCGATCCCTTTTGACCTTCTTATTTTCAGATCTGGCTCAGATGAGGTAAGAACTTTGCCTCTCTGCAAATTATCACATTGATTGTATTGATTAAAAAATTATTTTGGAGGTAATCCTCAGATATAATTGTACACAATTGTCTAAACTTCTGAAATGATTTCTACTTAAGTTCTCTAAAGCTACTGTAAATTGCCTAACATCCTCTTCTCTGTTGTTATGGGCACCAAAGATGGCAACCTTAACAAGTCTGATGAAAACGGCCCGGCTGCTGCGATTGGTCCGCGTTGCAAGAAAGCTGGATCGGTACTCTGAATATGGAGCTGCTGTCCTCTTCTTGCTCATGTGCACCTTTGTGCTCATCGCCCATTGGCTCGCCTGCATTTGGTATGCCATTGGCTTTGTGGAGAGGCCGTACACTGAGACTGGTTGGCTGGACAACCTAGCCGAACAACTGGGCAAGTCATACAACGACAGTGATTCCAGCTCCGGTCCATCAGTCAAAGACAAGTATGTCACTGCTCTTTACTTCACCTTGAGCAGTTTGACGAGTGTGGGCTTCGGTAATGTCTCTCCAAACACCAACTCAGAGAAGATCTTCTCCATCTGCGTCATGGTCATTGGCTGTGAGTTTAATTACATTGTTAGTGACTGTATGAAAATTATTGGGGTAGGCAGGCGGGTCCGAACTTTATGTTTAACTTTTGTTTAAAAGAACGAATCTCCACAGCGCTATTAATAATTTAACTAGTTATTAAATAGTATCAATTTAATACCTGATAGTTATTCCTAATGCCTGCCACTGGGTCGGATATTTAACCTTAATATGTTAATAAAATAAGAATTTTCGTGATTTGTGTTTTTATTTTTCTATTTTATTTTTCCTTTAATGATCAATCTGCAAGGACTTGAACGACATCCCCTGCTCTTGTGAGACTGCCTTCTCTTCCCTCTCCTAACTTCCCCCCTTTTATGACCCCACCCCCCTAATAATATTCATACAGACCCTTAATATGCAGAATGTGAACTGTTTCCATAACCAACAAATATTGCAACAAAAATGCCACGATCACTTCTTTATCATTGTAATCACTATGTTCTCATTGCTTCTCAGCTCTCATGTATGCCAGCATATTTGGGAATGTGTCAGCCATCATCCAGCGACTGTACTCCGGTACAACCCGCTACCACACCCAGATGCTGCGAGTCAAAGAGTTCATTCGATTCCACCAAATCCCAGGTAGCCTTCGCCAAAGACTGGAGGAGTACTTTCAGCATGCCTGGTCGTACACAAATGGCATTGACATGAATGCTGTAAGTAAAAAGTGACATGACTGAGTGTTATTGGAGTCCTACTTTAACCTGTAACTGCTGTCAAGATTGTTCAGTGTCCCTGTTTTTGCATCTAATCACTGTCCATATGTTGATGGTCTTGTCTTCCTATATTCAGGTATTGAAGGGATTTCCAGAGTCTTTGCAGGCAGACATCTGTTTGCACTTGAACAGATCTCTGTTACAGAACTGCAAGGCTTTCAATGGAGGCAGTCAAGCCTGTCTGCGTCACTTGGGTATGAGGTTCAAGACAGTCCACGCTCCTCCAGGAGATATTCTGATCCACTACGGAGACATCCTGGATTCTCTCTTCTTCATCTCACGTGGTTCTATTCAGGTCATCAGGGATGATGTGGTTGTTGCCATATTAGGTAAAGCCATCAAACTGTAGATAATTTGACTATGATGTCTCAAAAAAAAATTTTTTATCTACTCTAAAAACAACATACTCATACTCTTGCAGAAAAGAATGACATCTTTGGGGAGCCTATCCACCTGTATGATGAGCCAGGAAAGTCCAATTCAGACGTCCACACCATCACCTACTGTGACCTGCACCGCATCCTGAGGGACGACCTGCTGGAAGTCCTTGATGTCTATCCCAGCTTTGCAGACAACTTCTGGGGGAACCTGGAGATAACTTTTGACCTGAGAGATGTATGTTGGATATTGACTGCAGAAAATAATTTACATCCCGACAATTTGTTTTTCTTATTGAGAATTTCTAATTAGCATTAGCATTTATGGAGAAAAGAAAAGCTGGACAACCTCTCTGCTAGTTGCACGACATGAAAGTTCAAAGCAGAATCAATGGTTTGCTTCAAAACCAATACAGACCTGTCCTTGAATGGGACTACTGCCAGTATTGTTTAATAGCTAAAAACCCTCTTGGTAGTCTAGTGGTTCAGGCACCAACCATGAGCCACAAAATCCCTGGTTTGGCATCCTTTGTTGCATGTAATTCCCCGTCATCTTGCTACTATTGGATGTATAATTAAGGCATTAACCACCACCTCCCTACCCCAAAAAGAACATCCTCTTGTACTAAACTTACAGGCTTACATATTATCCTTTCTCAGGCTGATCAAGTACCCCAAATAATAACAGCTGATGACTCTGGTGACGACTGTGGTTATCGCCACAAGCCAAGACACAGAATCCACTCTCTTGACTGCCGAATCAGGCCAGGTGAGATATATCTGATATCACAGTCAAACAGGCTGCCAATCATTTGCATACAAGGCAAACAGAGTTGTTACAGTAATGTGTTAAGAGAGGGTCTGCTTGGTAATCAGACAGGCCCTTTATTGAACTGTTTAGCTTCTATTGAAAGCATGCTAGGGACAGGTTCTGGTTTCCAGACACCCTGGATGGGGTCAATATAAACTAATGATTGACTCATTTCCTGTGAACAGATGGAATTGATCATGAAGACTCGTACCCCATTCAGTCCTTCCATCATCGTCACTCATCTCCTCAGGCCCACTGGGATGACCACTGTAGCTGCGGATCCCCGTGTTCCCAGTCAAGTGAAGACCTAGCTAAACCTCTTTCCCACGGTGCCAAAGTAGAGCTTTACCCTCCAGAAGATGCCAGACGGGACTACTCACCATCTGTAGTGCAGCTGCTACCCCCGAGTGGCACCTCAGTAGGGAGGGAAGCAGTGTTGGACCTCGGCCACCAGGGTAGATGGATGAGTCCTAATTGAAAGAAATACATGGTGTCTGGTAGTCTCCGAGGTAGTCTGTGGAGTTTTCATTGTAAAAAAAATCAGGTCATTACTTACCATGAAACAAATTGCTCTACAGTGCCACTAGTGGTCAAAAACTCCAAAGGGTGCCTTTAATATAATTAAATTTTTATGTGTTTTTGAATATTTTGGACATTCCCATTACTTTAATTAAATGAATAACACTTTCTTTTATTATATTTTCCTCAGCTTCATCTTTGAATGTGCCAGGAATGTATCAATACTGGCCAGAAAGACAGTCACAACAGTTTTCTAGCCGTGCCTGGCGATCTTCCTCCGTCCGCAACTCATACCATCCACCACCATTCACAGAAGAACGGCCCAGTGAGCTAGAGTCTCGACTTGAGGTTTTACATTCACAGCTCAACAGGTGAATTTAATGATTCCTTCAGCTGGTTTGTTTAAATATTGATACAAGTGACAGTATACAGTATCAAGAGAAATTTGAGTGTCACTGGTCAGAAATGTTCTCAAATCCCAAATAAAACCTCCTAAGAAAATAAGGAGTTTTAATATGGAAAGGTATTGTCGATAATGCTGATACAGTCTAGAGATGCAACAGCAATAACGCTGTTTGCCATGATGGAGCCGTTCTGTTCCAATAAGACGGTCCTTAGCATTTTCTGTCCAATTACATTTCTCTTCTTGAACCCAAAAGAAAGAGTGTTTATTGGACAGAAATTGTGATGAAATTCTGCAGTTGCACAAAATTCCCAACCTAGTTGAGCAGCGGGAGCAACTTGATATTGAAGAACTCTTCTCTTCATTATTGTCTGTTGATTCCCTAGACTGGAGACTCGCATGACAGCCGACATCAACGTTATTCTCCAGCTTCTCCAGAGGCAGATCACTCCCGTACCTCCTGCCTACAGCACTGTATCGTCTACTACCCTCCCTACTGACTCACCGGGCCTGTATGGGACTGGAACACCAGCGCTGCACAGCATGTACCCCATTTCTCCCATACAGATGGACAGCCGGGCACCAACACAGGTAAGAAATAATACTAAATAGTAGAGTGAAATTGTCAGTCACTGTGCTGGCTACTAACACAAATTCATTTCTAGCCCTTTACTTAATAAGATTAAATGTTTTCTTTATTCTAGAGCTCCAGCAACAATGACCTTAAATTCACCAAGAAGTCCCAGGAGTCACTGTCCAGCGGTATCCATGTGACTGTGGCATCAGACGACACCATGTTCATGACAACCACCCCCGAAACTGAGACTCATACAGGGTTGACTCCGCAGCTGCCCCAGCCATCAGTCAAATCCTCCCTCATGGAGAACCCCAGGCTGTGCGGCAGCCTTCGCTACCCCTCACTGCCAGGGAACCTCAACATCGCCTCAGGACTGGCTGAGATTCAGAAACACCTCTCAGACCCTGTGTTACCTGTCATCTGAAGACCTTCAGCAAAGCAGTTTTCCTCTCAACTAGTGTGTAATGAGTCCAAGATTCATTACACATTTGGACAGCTAGTAGTGTATCAAAATCAGATTGTGGGCCACAAGGGTTTCCATTTCATTCAGTGTTGACACAGGACTACACTCAGTGACGATTGTAACACAGTTATCATACTTCTTAAGGACAATTGGTTATTTTTATGTGGGTGATGCTCAAAAGTCAATTTTTTTTTACACCTCGTACCTGTTTCACGTCTTTTTGTTCCATTCCACATCAGTAACATTTGTGAGAGCCAAACCTATCATGTCACGTTTAATCCTGTTTAATCTGTTTAAATCCTAATTTATTTTCCTGGCACATTAGTACAGAACGTCTACCTGCAGAGTAGAGCCTGGCAAATACTTGATTTGTGAGGCCATTACTGATATTATTTGAGAGTAAAAGAAAATCCACATTTGGAGAAATATGCTTTTTTGCTAGATGTTAGATGAGATTGATACCATTCTCACCAGCAGCTGGTAACCCTAGCTTAGCACAAAGACTGGAAACGGGGAAACAGCTAGTCTGGCCCTGTTTAAAGGTTAAAAAAATGCACTTAACAGAATCTTTAAAGCCCACAAATTAACACGTAATCTTGTTTAAATTAATTCGTACAAAAACTGTAGTGGAAGAATTAAATGTTGTGGTTTCATAGGACTATTGCTGTGAATGAAATCACTACCTATTTACAATGTGCACTATATTTATATTTTATTTGAGCGTTCGAATTCTCAGTATGTATATCTATTCCCTCAGAATTCCACAATGGGCCAAAACATGCAGTGAGTGAAAAATTAGGTGTCGACCGCATGACTACTTTTTGCAAACAATCCCACAATGCAACATGCCACATTTTATAGATGTGAAAATGAACATTGTTCAACTCGACACCTCAGTGATGACGCACAATGTCTGAAATGTGAATTTACTGCTCACTACTGAGTAAACAAATTATATAGGGGGGAGTAGTTAATGAAGGAGGGGTTTATATCTTGGCCAGCAAATAGTCATAACCCCCTGTATTAACAGGTTAGTAATTTCTTTATGCTAATATAAGCCAGCTGACTGCAGGCTGTTGCTTCATAATGGTCTTCTCATCTAATTCTTTACCAAAAAGAAGTAGCATGTTTGCTATGTCAAAATCTTCCCAAAAAACAATATATTTAGTTATTCAAGAATTGTGACCAAGAAATGCACACTGTGGAAATAATGCTCTCTGGTGCATAAACTATGTAATGGTGACACGTTTTTATAAATTACCGCAAACATATCTCTGGCATTTCTGTACCACATCTTCTAGTCAGTTACTGGCTGACATAGCTGCCTGCCACACCATTGGACCTGATCTGGCCCCACTGTGAGAAAATGAATCTATGGACAAGTGGTTTTCTGTATTTATGTTCAGCAAATAATCACACATCATGACCCCACACTGGAACAGGTAAGAAATAGCTACTGTCCACTCCTACGTATTTTACATACCATCCCAATCCCAAAATCACAACAAGACTCACAGCATTCATGATACAATGTCAAATTTCTAGGCTGTTTGACAAAAATGTAAGATTCTCTATATTGTACAGATTTTGGATGATGTACTTCAGGCAGTGTTTTCTCAGTATTATACAGTATCTGGAATAATACACCTTTTCAACCTATCATTTCTAACTGTTAATCTGTACTATAGTTTCTTATCAATATGTTGATGAGTCACATCACTGTGAAATAATTTAAACTGTTGTCTAAATATAAAAAACTTTGATGAGGGACTGTTTATTTCTGTATAAAATAAAATAATGTTGCTATTAATAAAAAAAATGATGCACAAATTACAAAAGAAATCTGTATTATGGTCAGTTAATACTAGTTAAAGGTTGCAAATATTATTAATGTATCACAACAGATTTTTTTTCATATCACAAATGATATTCAGTTGATTAAAACACATTATATACACACATAAAAAAACAATCGAGTACATGAACACAAACAACATTCAATCCACTTTTAAATATGGCTAAACTGCATTTTTGCTGCATCAAAATAATGAATAAAACATGTAACTGACTACTATTTGTCTATGAGACAACATGCTGAAAGCTTGTAGACTACTGAACCTTGATGTCATGTCTGTACATGACAATGTATTTAACAGTCTTTTGGTTTCTTGATACTTGGTTACCACTTTTATTTTGGTGGTCCGTTGACTTCTGATACAGGATGTCTTGGTATTGTATTACAAAGTCAAGCAGTAACGTACGCTAGTTCTCACTCAGTTAAAAAAACTTTACGCACATCACCTGTATCAACATGAACCCAATACGAGCATGACCTGAATACTGCGCCGTCCTTCTCGAACAAAGAATTATCTTCAACAAAGTCATATGAGCTTGTAAATCCAACTAAGAATGTTTTTGATTTGCCTCATTTCTTCATGACTGCTGCTCAGACTCTGAGGATTTCCAGGCAGTTGTTGTAGCAGATAGAGATCCAGTCGGGCTGGGTGGAGGCCCACTGGACATTATTGATCTCTCCCTCTGCAGTGTAGGCCAGTATAGGGTCCTCAATGGCTCGCGGCATCTGCTGGATGTCCCAGATTAGAGCCTGGTGGTCCTCCGCTAGACAGAGAGGAGGGGAGGAGGTTTGATTGAATCGATTTATCTTATTTAAACAGGAAGAAAATAATCTGACATTTGTAATTTTCAATCAATGTCAATGTATTGTACTACCCCCCCAGGAAATTGGTGGAGGTGGTAGGCTCTGCCACGCTCTGCTTTTCTTTCAACACGGCACATTCTGCACTGATTAATCACCTTTAAAGCCAGCATTTGGTAGGATTGATCATCTGTCATCACGGGCTAACTTAGATCCTGACACAAGTTGTGATCAATTCAGTTAGTAGAAGACAGTCTGAGCCTCTGTTCTAAAATGTGTGGCTTTTTGTTTAAGGATTCGTCCTGTAGGTTCATTTCATAAATAATAATAATAATAAATAATTTCTTCTGCTGTTAGTGGGGATGGTCTTTATCTTAGGCAAGGTAGCATACCTCCACTATAACATGATGCAGGAAACACTGAACTTGAAAAAACACGTGTGTGTGTGTGTGTGTGTGTCAGACATCTCTCATCACCAAATTGCCACCGATTCCTTTTCTAGCTTGTGTATTTAGTAGCATAAAAATGGCTCCCTCTTGTGCTCATTGTCAGTTACTGCAGCGGTTCTCAGCCTGCAAACACACTCCTGTGTGAACATTACTATGATTTCATTAACAACCTGCATACCTGATGTACAGATGTGACAGGAGGAGTGTGGCGCCCAGGCGATTCCATTGACACAGGCTCTGTGGTTGTTTAGTCTGGCCACCGGAGTACAGGGTACACGCACATCTAAGATCACCACCTGAGGATACCAACGTTACAGACGTTAACTGGCAGCACATGTACACTGATTGCTCACAAGCATTGTGTGTGTGTTTCATGTAGACATAAATAAATAAAACAAGTTGCAAGCAATTGTGTTCCCATCACTTTACACTGAGTCAAAGAGAAGTTTCAGTTTTATAACATTAGGGTTAGGGGTTAGGGTGGGAGCACTAACCTCCATGCTGTCCATTGCCATGGTGGCCAGGTAGTTGGGGTCCTGCTTGTTCCAGCAGAGCCGGAGCAGTGGGTGGTGCTGGGGGTCTTCGTAGATTATAGTGCTGTGTTCGAGGTGACGGAGGTCAAACATGCGGACCGAGCCGTCCGCTCCCACTGACGCAAACATATCCCTGCCGCCGCCTGCTCGGCTGAAAGAGATGTCATACACCTGCAACGCAAGCAGACGGTCAGCTCTGATCAGCTAGCACTCCACACTGGAGAGTTACTCCAAAATTAAGTACCATTTTATTAGACACAGAGGTTTAATCCATCGTTTCGTAACATTTTACCTCTTTGTCATGGGCAATGAGCTGTGTCTTGACATGACCTGACACTAGGTTGACCCTGCCCAGCACCTGTCCGGTCTCCAGCCCCCAGATTGTACAGGTGGTGTCGATACTGGACGTCCCTGCACAGAAAAAATACACACATATGCAAAACAATGTCATCTCCATTTTCTTATAGCAACTTTAGGTTAGTGAAACTAAGTCAAATGTTCTATGCGTTATTCAAATCGACAACATTACCCTAAGGTAACCTCATGCTGAGTTTTTACCTAACAGGTTTGGGTCCACCTCGTTCCAGTCAAAGGATGTGAGCGGTGCACAGAAATCAGAGTTCTTGTTATTGTTGAGCAGGCACTCCAGACGAGTCTCTGTATCGCTCACCTGTCAGTAGAAACACATATTCATGTATATTTGTGATCTTCAGTCAAGTTCATACAGGCCAGTTTTTATTTATAGCAGAAAAACTTATGAACATTTTCAGGTTTAGACGAATAATGAAAAAGAAGAGACTTCGGTTCAGTCCTAATAGGTGGTAAAAATGTTCATTCATCATAGTTTTAGACAATATTCTATGTTTTCCTGCAGTGTTTTCCTCTGGGTCAGACTGGATTGTTTCCTCTTACCCTCCAGATTCTCAGATAGTCTCCGCCGGTGGCCAGCAGGTCGGGGTACACTCCTTTGGTGTCTGGAATCCACACGATCTTGGTGGTCGGGTAGGGATGGTCGAACGTGTTTCGACACACAAACTCGGAGGTTTCTTCCTCTAGACCAACTATCTGAACCTGTTGACAAACAATAACAACTCACCTCGAGTGAGCCATGTGGTAGTGTTACTTATCTGAACTGGGAACAGTACATTCAGTCCTATTCTTCACATCTTTGTGTGCTGATAGCAACCAAATCTAGTCAGTCTAATCAATTTAGTTACTATTCACAGCTATGCAAATCGAGGTTGTATCAACAGAAACGTTATCAATTACTGATTAACAAGTAAATTCTAGGTTAAAAGTTAGTTCTTAAATATACATTAATTGTAATCTGTAAGAACCTAACACCATAGGCCTAACTTGAAAAGGTCAAACGATTATAATTTTAAATTAAGATTCATTGATGAAAATAATCATTGGCTGCCCTATTAAATCGGTTTAAGTGTATCTATAATAATGATGTAATATAAAACAGCAAATAAAATCCAGGTAATGTACAATAAAACAAAATAAAACGACGAATTAAGAAAAAAAAAGACCCGAATAAATATTTATCTATAGTTTATTTATCCAATTATTTAACAACCACATGTTTTCAAACTTAATTTCCCCCATAAAACGTATTTTCGGCACCGCATCGCAATGGAAACTATATCGACTTGTTTCTACCTACAAGCATCACACAATGTTTTATAACATCACAGATTAAATAGCCACATTATAAACAGATCATTAGCCACATTAAACCCGGCATATCACACCAGTACACAGTATATATCAGGCATCTTTTTAAATATAGTCATAATACATCTTCAGGCATTTGTAATGCTGGTTGGTTAATATACTGTGAACCGCGGGCCTGGAGCAGAAGGGGCAAACACTCCTACACACTAATATATTCATCCCTGTTACAGTAAATCAGTCAGATCGATAAATATAAGATCTGTGCAGAACAATAACACCCTCAGCGGTCATTACAGAGCAGGATGTGTTCCCTGAAGTTAGCCTACCTTGTTATTGTATTCCTCCACAAAGCTACCGAGCGCCAGGCGGAAACGCTTATCCGGGCGCACACTCCAGTTCACGGCGTAAACTGTCCACGGTGCCTCGTATTTGTAGATTTCTTTACGTTTACCGTGTAGCGACATCTTTGAAATATCTATAAGAGCTAGTGACCAACAAGGGGAGGAAGGGAAAAATAAAAACAGACACTGAACGCGTCGCAGAAACCGCCTAGCTCCCGTACAATAGGTTAGCTAACGTTAGCTTTTATAAGTTATTGTCTCTGCTAGCGTTGTGCAATTTCGACAGAAATGAGCTAAATGTTGAGTCCATGTACGCGTCTCCGCTGGTAAAAGCTACACACTATTTAAAGAAAGGGGATTTGTGTCAATTTTACTGCAAAACAGCTGCGGGTATGTGTTTGGCAGCAATGGCGGCGACCGAAGGACAAAAATAGTATGAAGACGAAGCGTCATGGAGGCTGCTGTTGCTGCCTTCACGTGGCGCCACAAATATCGTACTTTTTACAACTAAGCACGGCAACGTAGTTTTTTGGGAAAGGGGGGGCTTGATCCTCTTATTTCTGAGAGTTTTTTTTTGGGAAAGATAGTCAATAGATGAGTAATGTTGTATCCTGTACATTACATGGATGCCTACTGTTAGGCTGTCTTTACTCTCAAATACGCTAATCCAACATTTAAATGATGGTAGCTAAGGTATCGATCAGATCTTATTCACTGTCTTTCACTACTTCCCACTTTAATTCCTTGATTTTTCCCATCAATCATTATTCTTTGTGATTTTTCTGCCCTCAACTTCAATGTCCAACGAGTTCTAGGTCTACGTTGAATTTCAGAAGGGGGAGTTTACGAGAAGCACTTGAAGGCAGCATTACAGGGGATGCGCTCCACATCTGAAACTCAACTGTTTATTAATCTCAGCAAAGAAAGAGCTGCCTTCTTCTGCATACATAAATGTTGAGTATTTACTTAGATGAAACCATCAACATCTATTTTGAATCCAGAAGAATTAATCAGATTGTTCTTGGCCATTAGATCCCGTACTCCCCTGGCCTCCACAAACTGGGACCCTCCCCACATTTGGTTCCTGTGATTTTGATCTTTTTACTGTTATGCTTGGCCTCATTCCAGACCTCCTCTGATGGCTGTGGTTGCTCATTATTACTATTATTACTATTAGCTATTAACAAAATTGAGTTCTGACAACTAATTTGCTTGTAATGGATGTTTAAGTTGCTGCACACTTTGTTTCTGTCTGCCTGCTAACTGCTAGAGCAACATTTGTCCAGTCCCCACATTTTATAAATGGGTTTCCACAGCACATTTGCAAATTCGAATTTTATTCAATCAGAATATATTATTCCCTCTTCTCTCTCTCTCTCTCGTCTCTACTATATATATATATATGGAAAACTAAACTATTATAGTAGAGTAATTATTCACACATATACTAGTTCAAGGGTGGGGAGTCAGTGCGGTGTATGGTAAACCTACAGTTTACCAGCAAGTTGACTTGTGTGGCTTTAATGGAAAAGCCTTCACTCTCTGCTAAAAAAAGCCTCACCCTGCATTAGAAACAGTACCACGGAATTTGAACAAACCAAATATGAAGCAGTTTAGAAGAAAACAAACCCTTGCAAATAGGAAAGTATTAGTTAATTCATGATTGTTACAAATTATAAAAATTACATAATACAGACGGACAATTGTATTAAATGTTCCTAAAAAATATCGGAAAACTAATCTCTAAAACCACATTAGCAGGAAATAATCTGCTCAAATTTATGCAAATTGACCAAACCTTCCTTAAGTTATTGCATTAAATATTGGTGTGGAAGATAAATAATCCTTTTTAAAAAGGAAGGTAATTAGTGTGTTATCGAAGCTCCAGATACAAAACAACACAATAGATAAGAAAATACACAAAAAAATAAGAAATTACAGATACAATTGATGAACCCATTGCACAGCCACAACAGGAATGTGGTTGGCAAGGTGCAACAAGACAAAAAATATACAGCAGTGTAATTTAAAAAGAATAGGCTATACATATACAGTACAGGTTGATTAATCATAGCAATGTTCATATAAGAAATTATAAGAACATTTAGTATATAAAGAGTTTTTATAAGGAATGTAATATGGAAAACATCCATAAAAATATGTCGTTAGGGTCGAGTTTACTAAAGGTATAGAAAGGGGTCGTGGGAGTCCCTTAAGGAAAAAAGGTTGTGAACAAATTGGACATCATTGTTGAGATGTTGCCTGTCTCTCACTGTGGGCCCCTGTCAGGTCCCCATGGCTCTGTGGGTCTGTCTTTTCATAATATACAATGCAACAACCACCACTGCCACTGCCATTTGATTGATGTCTGATGCAAACGTGGTGCTCCTCCGGACAGATGTTTCACATTTTCATCCAAGGCAACAAGACAGTGGCAACCTCAGTAACACCACAGTACCAAGAAACCTCACAAACAGGTACAGTATGGGTCTGGATTTTTTATAACCAATCCATAAACCAATGTGCAGTAAAATTTGACAATGGGATAATCCTTCAACCAAAAGTCACTTTTTCTGTGTAGTGTAGAAACATTTGACAGTATTTTGAGTTAATTTCAAACAGTGTTTGTCTGTTCTATACATGTTTGTATTTTTATAATTCAAAGTTTTCTTTTTTTTAGCATGTTGAGTATGTGTTTCCGTGAATTATTTTTAACGCTCTGAAGTAGTATTTCTGTGTCCCTCAGGTATTTTATCCCACAAAATACTCTGCTCAAAAATGTTGATAAGATCTTTCAATCTAAGTCTCTGTCCAACAACTCTGCCACATCTGGATTTGTCTGGCATCAAATTGATTTTGACCAGTGTACCGACCAAAAAAACAGAGGCATATATATTTGGGCTTTTTGTATAGTGCTGTGCTTTGCTCTTGGTTTCCTACATCTGTTGCCATCCTCTGGGGAGATGTTTAAGACACACAGGAGAAAGAACTCCTTTCACACCATACAGTTTTCTTCGTACTGAACTGCACCTCATGGGATTGGTTGTCTTCTTTGGCTTTCATCCCACCTGGATGGGTTTAAATCATTTATCTGGGAGAGTTGGCAATTGAGGGCGACTTTTGAGAACGAGAAGTTTTTCAATGCCTTGTAGTTTAATTGTTGTTTGTGAGGATGAAGAAACCCATAGCTCCTCGAGATTGATAGTTTTCCTCTAATGCGATTTCCGTGGTGGTGCCCGCATGGACAATAAGATATATCTAGTTTTATGGGGTATCAAAATCCCATATTACAGTTTGACACTAACCAACAAGGTATGATATAAGGTATGAGGTTACATTTTGATACATCGCGACTAAAGGAGTAAACTATAGATATATTTATTCGGTTTTTTTTTTTCTTATTCGGTCGTTTTATTGTGTGTGATGTAATTGTCTTTGTAACATTACTGTCTGGGATTTTTATGTTGCTGTTTTTTATATACTGGTATGCCATCTTGGGATATGCCATTTAATACTTATCTATGTACAATACCACTTTTTAATCCCTCAGATTTCACCAAATAGGCGTGCTCATACCAACTTAGTTTTGTCTATTTATCAAATGAATCTATATAAAGACTTATATAGATTATCAATATTGGATCGTTTGACCTTTCTGGCTCCAAGTTGGTTCTTTTCACTCTCCATGGCTGGTTAGGTCTACTTCCATGATTAACGGAATTCTTAGATGCCTATATGCTATAAAGAACATAAACTTTACTACCCATCAGAATTCCTACTTGCTTAATATAGTATAATCCAAGTAAGCAATTAGAGTAGCACGGTTTTGTTCTCGGACCTCAACTAACCCATCCAGATTATGCAAGTTAGCTGTTGAATAGTACTAAATTGATTAGACTGTGGATGATTGGTAGGTTGCCTAATTCAGTCCACATCTAAGATGTCGCTTCACGCACAATAGGTGTATTCTAACTGAAAACTAGTAACTAGTTCCCAGTTCAGGCGCTCAAGTAAACCAACTAACCCATGGCTCAACTTCCCGATGTGAACCGTGTTGATATCAGCATCACGTACCTTTTATTTTATTGGTAATTCCCGATAACCCTTACTTCCAAGTTCGGGATCTGCTGTTCCTGCCTTTCTCGACCTAAAGAATCGTGGGAAATTGGGATCGTTTCAAAGCTTGGATGGCGCAGGAAGTCTTAAGCCCTCCTCTTACAAAACAGTGCATAGAAGCTAAAAAAAATTGTAACTTTCAACAAGTCGAGTTTCAGTACTTGAATTAAAATGTGAATTAAAATGGAAAATTTGGAAATTGCACTTCACATGTTTCATTTATGATTTATTCTTTTTCTTTGTTTAAATTTTATTTAAAGGTCCAGTTGTACATTAGAGGGATCTATTTGGGTCATAAAATGAATATAATTATCCAAAAGTATGTTTTCATTGGTGTATAATCCCCTGAAAATAAAAATTGTTGTGTTTTTGTTACCTTAGAATGAGCCTTTTATATCTACAGACAATGTGTGTCGCCTTCCACTGTAGCCTTCTTACAGTAGCCCAGGAGGGACAAACCAAATATTATCTCTTGACATTCACTTTTTTCTCGTGTTTCGCGGCCACCGTAGTTTCGCACTTTGAAGGGGAGGGTGAAGCGAAATCCTACACACTGGTCCTTTAATGTTCTGTTCTTGTATGTTAGTGCTCATTTACTCTTCTTTGGTATATGTGTGTTTGCATTAATGTTTTGTCCCTAATAAAATAATAATAATGAATTAAGTAACTTTGGAAACCAAACTATGGCAACCATAGTTCTGTTATGTACTAAAATTTGTATTTTTAAGAAGATGTGTGCTTTAGAATGTGTATACTTAAATGAATGTTGATAATGTAATTAGAAATGAATAGTTTAGTATGTATGTTTTAGTATGTCTTACAAAATAAAACTTACAATAAAGCTGTTGAACTCATTGCTCATGATCACTGATGGTAAACCACAATTCCTACATAGTGGAGAACAGTTAAACACTGAACCAATGGTGGTTCAGGATACTTCTGCATGAGGGACAGGATATCTAAAAAAAAATCAAAGACTTGTTTTTCATGAGATTTGCATGGGGTTCCTCATGATCGTATTACAAATGTAAATAATGAAGAGAGGCAAATCATCTGTCATGACAGTTGTAGTCATGCAGGTGTGCAGGTATAAACATAATTTACATACTGTGCCATTGAAGATGTATGTTGAAAAAGGTATATTGTAAGATGAAAAATATTACAATGAATTTACATACAGGCATCCTTTAATGGTTTCAATGTTTTAATCTCACCTGTACAATTTATTCAATTTGTTATGATCGTAAGACTGCGCTGATTTATTACACTGTTCTATTACCTTTCATGATGCTTGTATAATGAATAAAATTGGATCAAA